AAAAACTGGAAAATATTTGTAACATGATAAAAGACAAATTTTTAAAATACACAGAGCCCTCAGAGATTAATCAAAAACCCCGTTTGTTAAGCCAGACAAATATAAAGATACATAGATGGCTTTAAACCAGGGTTTCTCAACCTCTGCACGACTGACCTCTTGGACTACATAATTATTTGTTGTAGGGAATGTTTGTGCATTGTAGGATGTGTACCAGCATCCCTGTACTCTACTCACAAGATGGCATTAGCATCCCCATTCAATTGTGACTATCAAAAATGTCCTCAGATATTACCAAATGTCCTCTGGGGATCAAATTTTCCCTGGTTTAAATATACAAAGAGATCAAAATCCACACTTGTGATAAAATAAATGCAAAATTTAACAATAATGAGGTGACACTTTTTTCTCTAATTAGATTTTCATCATTAACTATTTTGCAGTTAGCCAGCATGTGGGATTAGGGGGTCTCATTTATCCTTTTGGGTGCGCAACCCTTCTGGAGGGTCATCTGGCAATATCTATCAAACTATAAAGTGCATTTACTCTTTTTTCTTTTTGAGACAGAGTCTCACTCTTTCACCCAGGGTGGAGGGCAGGGCAGTGGCATGATCTTGGTTTACTGCCACCTCCGCCTCCCAGGTTCAAGCGGTTCTCCTGCCTCAGCCTCCTGAGTAGCTGGGATTACAGGTGCCCGCCACCAGGCCCAGCTAATTTTTGTATCTGTAATTTTTGTAATTTTGTAGTTTTAGTGGAGACAGGGTTTCACCATGTTGGCCAGGCTGGTCTCGAACTCTTGACCTCAAGTGATCCGCCCACCTCGGCCTCCCAAAGTACTGGAACTACAGGCGTGAGCCACTGTGTCAGCCACATCTACTCTTCGATCCAGCAATTTCACTTCCAGGAGTTTATCCCTACATATACACTTACATATATGCAAATAGAGAAATATAAGTATAATCATGGAAGCAAAAAGAGTATCCAAAAAACTGGAAACAGTCTAGTATCCAACAATAGGGAACAGGTTAAATAAACAAAGGTATATTCATATACAGGTTGAGCAAACCAAATCTGAAATCCAAAACACTTCTGGAACCAAGCATTTTGCATAATGGATACTCAGGCTGTTACAGAATATTACGCAACCATTAAAAAGGAGGAGGGGTAGCCGGGCACGGTGGCTCACGCCTGTAATCCCAGCACTTTGGGAGGCCCAGGTGGGCGGATCACGAGGTCAGGAGATCAAGACCATCCTGGTGAACACGGTGAAACCCCGTCTCTACTAAAAATACAAAAAAATTAGCCTGGCGTGGTGGCAGGTACCTGTAGTCCCAGCTTCTCGGGAGGCTGAGGCAGGAGAATGGCGTGAACCCGGGAGGCGGAGCTTGCAGTGAGCCGAGATGGCGCCACTGCACTCCAGCCTGGGCGACAGAGCCAGACTCCGTCTCAAAAAAAAAAAAAAGAATAGCCGAGACTGGCTAATTTATGAAGAAAAGCGGTTTAATTGACTCACAG